CCAAGCACAGAAATGGAAAGTAACTTCTAAAAAACTTTACAGCAATTTGGCAGAGTGACTTTGTCTATCAAATCTAATAACAAAAACTGCAGGCTTACATTTTATAAGTCTCTAGTTTATTTTTCCATTTCACTTTTCAGTTTTTATATTTTAAAAAGGAACTGGGTTGGGCATGGTTGCTCACACCTGTAATCCTAGTACTTTGGGAGGCTGAGGTGAGAGGATCACTTGAGGTCAGGAGTTCAGAGACCAGCCAAAGCAAGAGTGAGACTATCTCTCACTCTGGTCCATGACAGATTGGAAATTAAAAGAACAACCTGATATTTCATCACAGATAGTTAGAGAAGCACTATTCTAGAGGTGAGGATTCCTGAGCACAGAGCAATTTTGGATCATGGTTCTTCTGTGTATTAAGCTGCCTAGAGTCTAGCTGAGGAAGTTCCCAAGGACAGAGTTCATCACCACCATTAAAACTCAGTCTTAGTAACTTTTGACAACTTTGATTTTCTTACACTGAAAAAAAAAAATAGAAAAGAAAATATAATAATATTAAAAAAAAGAAAAAAAAACCTCAGTCTTAGTCTTAAATGTAAATCTTTACAAATGCAAAAAATAGGAGCAGCTTAAATGTCCCACCAGTAGCAAAAATGGTTATTTAATTATGATACATCCACTCAAGGGAATTATATATATCCTTATAAACTATAACAATTTTTTTTGAGACAGAGTCTCACTCTGTTGCCCCAGGGTAGACTGCACTGGCATCATTGTGGCTCACTGCAACCTCAAACTCCTTGGCTCAAGTGATACTCCTGCCTTGGCCTTCCAGGTAGCTGGGACTACAGGTGAGCACCAGTCCGCCTGGCTAATTTTTCTGTTTTTAGTAGAGATGGGGTCTCACTCTTGCTCAGGCTGGTCTCAAATTCCTGAGCTTAAGGAATCCTCTCACCTCAGCCTCCCAGAATGCTAGGATTACAGGTGTGAGCCACCATGCCCAGCCCTAACAATGTTAAATGAAAAAATAAATTACAAAATTACATAAATACCATGACAACATTTACATACAGTATGTATACATATGGCCAAAAACTGGAGAGAATTATGCAAAAATAAATCAACAAATGCATTATGGTTACAGGATTATGTAAAATAGCCCTTTTAAAAATAAACTTTAAAAAACTTATATTGAAGGCCGGGCGCTGTGGCTCACGCCTGTAATCCTAGCTCTTGGGAGGCCGAGGTGGGCGGATTGCTCAAGGTCAGGAGTTCAAAACCAGCCTGAGCAAGAGCGAGACCCCGTCTCTACTATAAACAGAAAGAAATTAATTGGCCAACTGATATATATATATAAAAAATTAGCCGGGCATAGTGGCACATGCCTGTAGTCCCAGCTACTCGGGAGGCTGAGGCAGCAGGATTGCTTGAGCCCAGGAGTTTGAGGTTGCTGTGAGCTAGGTTGACGCCACGGCACTCACTCTAGCCTGGACAACAAAGTGAGACTCTGTCTCAAAAAAAAAAAAAAAAAACAAACAAACAAAAAAAAAACTTATATTGATTTTATAATTCTAAAAATATAAATCCTTAGAAACAGAAGTATCAATGTGGCATTTATCTTATGCAATGTCATGCGTATCAGAGCTCAGATGGTCATCTTTCAAAAGCTCTGGATGTTGTGGTAGTATCTGCAGCCATGTGCAACCCTTAAATGGATTGGAACACTGACATAAAGAAGCGTTTGTCTGTAACTTCTCATCAGGAGATGTAGGGATCACAATTATGGTCAAGGGTGCTAGCTTCCAGGCCAGCAATCATATTTAACCAAACCCCAATTCCAGCTGCTTCTGTAAGGAAGCAGTTTCCTAAACATGATCTCTGTTTGACTCTTGCTAAAAGTTCAAGAAATATTCACTATGTTTTTTTTAAGTGAATGGGTGGGGAAGGGGTTTCAAAACAATGACATAGCTGCTGTTCTTAGGGAGCTTATAATCTTTTGGGATAAAACTTAGAAATATGCAACTACTATATTACTAAACATTCTATAAACTAGTGTATAAGCTAAATCCAATGACAAAAAGAATAAGGAATAATCAAAATGGCCTCAGTCAAAAATGCTGATCAAATTGTAGCAGTTAAATCAAACTGTGTCCTAAAAAAGTGTGATAGCCATGGATCAGCAGAGGAAGAAGGAAGAACTTCAGGCTGTATATGGGGGAGTAAGATGAAAAAGGTAGAAAGATGAGATTGGGGAACTGAAAGCAGGGATAGTCAGCGGTGAACCCTGGATGCGAGGTTAAATTTATGTCTTACACGACAGGCAATAGGGAAAGACTCTAAGAAGCAGGTGATAACTTAAGCAGAGAAATGAAATAAAGATACATTTTACTTCAGAATATTTCCTGAAATATATCCAGAAAAAAGATACATTCAGGATAGAGAAGACCAATTCTCATGCACAGGGACACTTCTGGATACTGTAGTCCTTTATCCCTGGTTTCGCTTTCTGAGGTTTCAGTTACCCACAGTCAAGCATGGCCCAAAAAGATTAAATTAAATATTCCAGAAATAATCAATCCTAAGTTTTAAATCTTGCACTATTCTGAGTACCATGATGAAATTTCGCACCATCCTATGTTGTCCTGCCAGGGAATCCTCCCTTTGTCCAGCAGATCCACCCTGTCTACACTATCAACCATTATTAGTCACTAATTTATAGTCACCATCTAGGTTATCAGATTGACCGTCATGGTATTGCAGTCCTTGTGTTCAAGTAACTCTTTTTTTTTTTTTTTTTGAGACAGAGTCTCGCTTTGTTGCCCAGGCTAGAGTGAGTGCCGTGGCGTCAGCCTAGCTCACAGCAACCTCAAACTCCTGGGCTCGAGTGATCCTTCTGCCTCAGCCTCCCAAGTAGCTGGGACTACAGGCATGCGCCACCATGCCCGGCTAATTTTTTTATATATATATCAGTTGGCCAATTAATTTCTTTCTATTTATAGTAGAGACGGGGTCTCGCTTTTGCTCAGGCTGGTTTCGAACTCCTGACCTTGAGCAATCCGCCCGCCTCGGCCTCCCAAGAGCTAGGATTACAGGCGTGAGCCACAGCGCCCGGCCTAGTAACTCTTATTTTACTTAAAAATGGTCCCAAAACGCAAGAGTAGTGATGCTGGCACTTCAGATATGCCAAAGAAAAGCGATAGAGTGCTTCTTTTAAACGATAAGGTGGAAGTTCTCAAGTTCATAAGGAGGGGAAAAAAATCGTATGCTGAAGTTGCTAAGATCTACAGTAAGAACAAATCTTCCATCCATGAAATTGTAAAGAAGGGAAAAGAAATTTATGCTAGTTTTGCTATCACACATCAAACTGCAAGAGTTATGGCTACAATGCATGATAAGTGCTTGAGGTGGAAAAGGCATTAAATTTGTGGTGGAAGACATGAATAGAAACATGTTCCAACTGATGGCAACTGGGTTCAGTACTATCCATGGTTTCAGCCTTCCACTGGGGTTCTTGAAATGTATCCCCCCCACTGATAAGGGAAGACTACTGTATTAGAAAATGTCTTCTTTTTTTTTTAAGTTTTGTTTTTATTTGTTTATTTATTCATTTTGAGACAGAGTCTCATTCTTGCCCCGGCTAGAGTGCCGTGGGGTCAGCCTAGCTCACAGCAATCTCAAACTCCTTGGTTCAAGCAATCCTCCTGCCTCAGCCTCCCGAGTAGCTGGGACTATAGGCATGCGCCACCGTGCCCAGCTAATTTTTTCTCTATATATTTTTAGTTGGCCAATTAATTTCTTTCTATTTTTAGTAGAGACGGGGTCTTGCTCTTGCTCAGGCTGGTTTCGAACTCCTGACCTTGAGTGATCCTCCCACCTCGGCCTCCCAGAGTGCTAGGATTACAGGTGTGAGCCACCACACCTGGCCAGAAAAATGTCTTCTTTATTCTGTGGTTTCCTAGCTGCATTCCCCTATGCCTCACCCTAATCAATACGACAGTCCAAACCCCATATGTCTCTTTAAAAAATAAATGGTCAACATGAACAACATTCCACCTGGACTCTGGGGTGCAGTGCATCCCCAGTTCTCAAGCAGCCATGCCAGCTGACCACAAGTGATAAGGAAAGGAAAGAGAGCCAAGAAACCTTCAGAAACATGCATCTGAAGAAAACTGGTAGAGGAATCAGTAATTGGAAGACAGATCCAAATTGCAAGCATTCTTGTGAAATGTAGACTCCCCAGGGACTCTACAGGAAAGGAAAATGCACAAGAGATAATTTCCCCACTTCTATTTGTTTAGAGATTGGGTTTTTGCTGTGTTACTGTTGCCCAGGTTGGTCTTAAACTCCTGGCCTCAAGCAATCTTCTCCTCTCAGCCTCCCAAAGTGCTGGGACTACAGGTGTGAGCCACCACACCTGGCCTTTTTAACTTTTTTAATTCCCTACTTTTGATGGCCCTGTATATTGCCTGCCATTTGGTAAAGCAGCAGCTGGTAGGTTACGAGAGGCTCTTCAGCCCATGGCCTTTTTCTCTCATTGAACAAAAGGAAAAGTTTGTGTCCTATTTGCATCCCCAGGGAAAGGCAAGACTGCTGAGGAGTTTTGGGAGTTGGGTTTACAAAGCATGTCATCTTAAATCCTTGACAGCTTTTGCTAATCAGTACCCCCACACACATTAATCAAATCTCTCTTATTGGGGTCAAAATCTAATTGAAAGTATACAAATATACAGAAAAAGAATTTTCCCCTTTATCATAAAGTGTTTTCCTTCCTTCCACACTGCAAGCCAAATAACCTTTAACTGCAACATTAACACTGACAATCTGGCTTGTCAGTGAAATCAAATGCAGAAGGCTTGCTAGCCACTGACACAGTGGGCCAGGTTGCGCTTATGCTCTCACTTTGGCACTGGCTGAGGAACATAAAATTCTGTCAAGGAGGCAAGGCAAGTTCTTGAAGGAAAGCAAGCTGTGTCTTCAGTTGCCAGGTCATGACAGGGGCAACTTACATGGTTTCCATCCTGGGACAGCAGCAATATCCTAAGGCTTTTCATGCTTGAGCTTCTATCCAAAATGTCAATTGCTTTATCAAGATCATCTTGGTTTTTCAGCAAGATGGAGAGCTGTGACACAAGACACAGAAAAAGAAATCATATAAAATAGAAGTCTATCTCAATGCTTCAGTTTGCAAAAATAAACAAAATAAAACTAAGTTTGGAGGAAAACAATCTTATTGGATACTATGGGGTCCTAAAAAATTTAGTTGAAACCACAGAGAGAATTTTTTCTCTAAGTGTACAATTCAATAATTTTTAGGAACTCTATACAGTTGTGCAACCATCACCACAATCCAATTTTAAAACATTTCCATCACTTCAAAAGGATCTCCTGTGCCCATTTATAGTCAACTCCCCCTTTCCACCTCTAGCCCCAGGCAACCACTAATCTACTTCTGTTTCTACAGATTTGCCTTTTCTGGATATTTCATATAAACAGAATCATATAATTCATACATATTCAATTCAATTCATAAAGATTCATAGTCTTTTGCATCTAGCTTCTTTCACTTAGCTTAATGTTTCTGAGTTCATCTGTGCTACAGCATATCTCACAGTACTTTGTTTTGAGATATTTTTTGAGAAGAGCTTTTTCCTCTTTAAAAATATCCTTTACTCAAAAGCATCAAATCCCAAATAGTAACATCCCCCATATTTCTTCCCAAATTAAGCATTCTGACATTAACAGAACAAGCAGAAAAGGCATGGGAGGAGCAGGGGAATGGGCAGAGAATGAAAACTGTTACTTAAAAAACCCCACAAATTTGGATCAGATAATAGAATTTAATATCTTTCTATTTAAGGGCAAAGTCAGTGACTAGAACCTGAAAACTACCTCCTCCATTTTCATTCTATTGAGGTATTAAAGAGAAAGTCCTTGAGGGTATAAGGTAAGTCTAAGCAGAGGATGTTTTAAGAACTCGGTATTAAAAGATGCAAAAGTATGCTTTGCCTCAGACCTAGCAAATGTCAGATTTTATACATCTGTAGCAAACACGAAATCAAGCAAAAGCCCAATTAATTTATTCAGGTCTCAATTTATAATACGAGGAGATGAGAACTCTAACTGCAAAAGTACGCAAAAACAAATAGAACAGTACAGGCCAGGTGGGGTGGCTCATGCCTGTAGTCCCAGCACTCTAGGAGGCCAAGGCAGGATTGCTTCAGCTCAGGAGTTCGAGACTAGCCTGAGCAAGAGTGAGACCCCATCTCTACCAAAAAGGCAAGAAAAAAAAATCCAGCTGGGCGTTGCAATGCACACCCATAGTCCCAGCTACCTGGGAGGCTGAGGCAGAAGGATCACTTAGAGCCCAGGAGTCAGAGGTTTCAGTGAGTTATAATGGCACCACTGCACTCTATCCCAGGCACGAATGAGACTCTGTATCAACGAAAACAAACAAAACAACTGAGCATCCCTCATCACAACTATCCACCCCTTAAAAAAAACAAAAGAACAGTATGTATTTAAAATAAAATTTCAAAACTTCTCATGAAATGGGAGAATGTTCTGCAAATCATATCATAATACAAAAGAATTCCTTTCTGGGTGACATTCAAAGTAGGAATAAATAAGAACAGTTGGGAGGGGATGTAAAGAAATTGTTGGAGTAGGTGTTGACTTTCAAACAACCAAGCTACAATTTTGCAAATGTAAGATAAGAGTCTAGTACACAGAAAATATAAAGAACTCTTACAATTCAATAATAAAAAAATAAACTAATTATTTAAATAAACAAAAGATTTGCATAGACATTGGTCCAAAGAAGATATAAAAATGCCCAAAAAGCACAAGAAAAGATGCTCAACATAACTAGTCATTAGGGAAATGCAAATCAAAACCATAGTGACATACCACTTTTTTTTTGAGACAGAGTCTCACTCTATTGCCTGGGCTAGCGTGCCGTGGCATCAGCCTAGCTCACAGCAACCTCAAACTCTGGGGCTCAATGGATCCTTCTGCCTCAGCCTCCCGAGTAGTTGGGACTACAGGCATGCACCACCAAGCCTGGCTAGTTTTTTTTCTATATTTTTAGTTGGCCAATTAATTTCTTTCTTTAGTAGAGACGGGGTCTTGCTCTTGCTCAGGCTGGTTTCGCACTCCTGACCTTGAGCGATCCACCCGCCTCGGCCTCCCAGGGTGCTAGGATTACAAGCACGAGCCACAGCGCCTGGCCAAAACCATAGTGACATACCACTTTACACCTATTAGGATGGCTATAAAAAAGAAAATAATAAATATTGACAAGAATGGTGGAAAAACTGCAACACTCACATATGGCTAGTAGAACTGTAAAATGGTGCAACCATTATAGAAAAGTTGGGCAGTTCCTCAAAAAGTTAAACCGAGTTATCACATGACCCAGCAAGTCCACTCCTAGGTATATACCTTAGAGAACTGAAAACATATGTTCATATAAAAACCTGTACACAAATGTTTATAGCAGCATTATTCATAATTGCCAAAAAGTGAAAACAAGCCAAATGTCCAAGCTACAACATAAATGATCCTTGAAAACATATATTTAGGGAAAAAAATCCAGACACAAATGGCCACATATGGTATTATTCCACTTACATGAAATGTTTAGAACAGGCAAATCCAAAGAAACAGAAAGTAGATAAGTGGTTGCCAGGAACTGGGGAGAGGGGAGACCTAATGGGTACAGGGTTTCTCTTTGGGAGGTTGAAAATATTCTGGGATTCTATTGTAGTACTGATTGCACAACTCTATGCATACACTAAAAACTACTGAACTGTATACTTTAAAAGGGTTAATTTTATAGTAGGTGAATTGTATCGCAATAAAACTATTATTAATATTACAAAAATATAAATCAAATAAAGCCTCAATAGATTTTTCATTTAGGATTCTCAGATCTTGACAGTGCAGGGTTTGAAGGACAAAAAAAGAAAGAAATTGAAGGATTTTAAATTAGTAAAATGTAAACTAGTCAACTTCTGATCATTAACATTAGTAGTGTATGGAAAGACACATATGATCTAAAATAATTAACAACTATTTACATCTGGCTTTAGAATTAATATCTGCCTAAAGATTTAAATAAGGTAATGTCCAACATTCTGGGCAGCCACTTTATTGGCAAAAGAGTTTAAAAATAGATTTAGGGACATCTGGACTTCTTAATGGAAATATTAACTGAGAAAGAGTACTAAATCTTCCAGAAAAGTCTTAACTAAAGAACATCTTTAATGCTGATTACCTAGCAGACTTTAGCCTCACTTTCACATGCAGTCACTGAAGCTCCAGCTGCACTATGTACAATTTTTTTTTTAAGTTCTATAAGACTTGACATTTGTCTTTTGGGGGTTCTCATATTCTATATCTAAAATGTGCTAGTTTATTTATTGCTAGTTTAAATAATTCAAAATATTTGCATCTGTATTATTTATTGACTATAAAGTTAATGCTTTATTTTCCAATTTTGCATATTTCTAAAATTTACCCCCAAAAAACAAAGATTGGATAGTCTTATTTTGGTAAGCTATTTGGCAGTATATCCAGTTGCAGTTGTATATTTTGTAGGAAGGGAGTGTTTATACAAAAAAATCTCAGTACCTACAGATTTCAATCCTAAACTATGAAGGAAAATTTTAACTCTTCATCAAATAAAATAAAAAACTACACAGTAACAATCTAACTCTGAAAGAGCCATGATGTTTTCAATTCCCTCAAGGTACATGCTCTTTACTATGCATAAATAGATTGCCTTTCAGACTAATGCAAAGCACCAGCCTAAGCCAATTATAGCCTTTAGTAATTTCTTGGAGATGGGAAATCAGCTGAGTAACTGATATTCAAAAGAATTCCTTCCGGGGTGATGTTCAAAGTAGGAATAAATAAGGACTGTTGGGGTGGAGTGGGGAGGGAGTAGGTAAAGAAATTATTGGAGTAGGCGCTACCTTTTGAAATAAATAAGCTCCAATCATAAGTTAAACTCTGAGAGAAGAATCCAGCATTTATGATTGCAATAGAGGACCTCCCTGTCCCCTGTTAAACCCTCTGCTTCTTGTTAAGGCTGTGCTGGGGGAAAAAAAAAGATATCCCTACACAATGTAAAGGAAATAATATAAGCCCTGGTATCACATGTGATTCCACCTTGGAACATTAGAGCTACCTCCACTGAATAAGTAGGGGGAATGGAAATGACTCTGTAATCTCCCATGTAACAAATAACAGGAATCCCAAAATTTTTGGAGTTAAGAAAAAGGGCTCTAGAAAATGAAAACCTGCAGATGATATCAAAGGAACAAACTAACAAAGACTCCGTTAAACAAAGAGAAAAAAAAAAAGGTAGGCTTCTGTCCCTCTTGTCCCTGCCCTATCCATCTACCTTCTCACCTCATTGTTCATGTAATGTAGATCAAGAGGTTGCCCAAATACTGTTGTCACCTTGTGCTCTACATCTTCATACCTCACAGGCCGGCTGAATGCTATAATTCTGAAAAAGAACAGAAATGTTGGTTTATTGTATATTTAAAATGTAAGGTTTAGAAAGTAATGGCCTGAGTATTTTCTCCCTTTATTTTCAACATAGGATTCTCTTTTTCTTTCATTCAGTTTGCCTTTCTTTTTTCTCTTATCTTTACCTTTTCACTCTTCTTCTGAGCATCTCTCAGGTTTGACAACAGTACCCACAACCATTGCTCAATCCCAACCATTTGTTCCACCACTTCAGCTTAGACCTTTCTGCCAATGACAGTATCATAGCAGGCCACTGGATTTGAAAACTATGTTCCAAGTACTTTTGTTAAGAAACAAAGTAGAAAACCTAAAGACTAGAACAGCGGTCCTGAAAACACTGTTTCAACTCTCAAGATACTCAACTACAGGACTTGAAAGGTCTTTTCCATTGTTCATTTTTGAAATACCACAGAAATCTCAATACTGATAATCTCCAGAATTAAGATTTCCTACTACAGAGTCACAGGAATTCCCCTTAAGTTGGTGATACACTTGATCAGTTTCCTTAACCAGTGACATATTTAAGTAGTATTGATATTGAAGCTCTTCTGGAAAAACTCATTAGGTTGATTCAAAGAACAATTTATTTTATTTATTTATTTTTTTTTTTGAGACAGTCTCACTTTGTTGCCCGGGCTAGAGTGCCATGGCATCAGCCTAGCTCACAGCAACCTCAAACTCCTGGGCTCAAGCGATTCTACTGCCTCAGCCTCCCGAGTAGCTGGGACTACAGACATGTGCCACCATGCCCAGCTAATTTTTTCTATATATATTTTTAGTTGGCCAATTAATTTCTTTCTATTTTTAGTAGAGACAGGGACTCACTCTTGCTCAGACTGGTTTCAAACTGCTGACCTTGAGCGATATGCCTGCCTTGGCCTCCCAGAGTGCTAGGATCACAGGCATGAGCCACCGCGCCCGGCCCAAAGAACAATTTTTATAAATATAAGGTAGAGTAAGAACTTATCCAAAGAGGCATTAAAATATGATTTATTACATACCCCAGCAAATTAAAAAGTGGGGCTAGACAAAATAAGATTGACAAAATGTTGATAATACTGAAGCTGGGGTTCCGTATAATCCTCTGTCTACTTTAGTGTGTGCTTAAAATTTTCATAATAAAAAGTTTTAGTGACTGTATTAGGTTGCACTATGTGGAACTGTTGATGGTCAACCATTTTTGATGTACAAATGCAGCAATTTCAAATGGGTTCAACATAATACTCTAGAAATTAAATGATCAAAACAAAAATAAGCAAAGAGACAAATGAAACAAAACAACATCAAAAAGAAACTCACACATATACACACATACATTTATATAAGAAAATATTGGATTAAAAAAATCTTGGGACTAGGAAGGTCTTCCTAAGCATAACGTAAAATACAGAAGACAGACAGGAAGAAGTCTTCTTCCTTTTGGAAGAAGACAGACTTGACAACAAAAATTTAAACTTCTGATAACAAAATGAATCATAAACAAAGTTAAAAAACAAAATTAAACTTGGAGAAAATACTTACAAAACATCAAAAAGCAAAAGACAAACAACCTAACAGAAAAACAGACAAAAGATGAGAAAAGTCACAGAAGAGTTATGAATGGCTAATAAACATAAGATGTTCAATGTGATTAGGAAAATGCATATTAAAATAACTTTCATCTCTTAGTATACCCAGGCAAGATGAAATCAGATTAGTAGGACTCACCCATGGGCCTGTATATTTCTTGTCCTCCTCCATGCTGAGAGGAAGAAGTGTGTGGTTCTTTCACATCTTCCCTGTTTCCCCAGAGTGGGAAGTGGTGATAACCAGAGGAAAAAGCAAAAAGCCACAAGAACGGGGGATCTAAGCCATTGGGTTTTAATAAAATTTGACCAGAGAATTTCTTTAGTGTTCTTCTGTGTCAGTTTGGCTTGAATCAGTGAGCAACACAAAAGCCTTCATCATCTAGAACTTCACTATCCAATATGGCAGCCACTAGCAACATGTGGCTATTTAAATTAATTAAATTAAAAATTGGTTCCTCAAGTCTCACTAACCACATTTCAAGTGCTCACTAGCCACATATGGCTAGTGGCTACTGTATTGGACAGCAGACACAGAACATTTCCATTATAGTAGAAAGTTCTATTGGACAATGTTAGTAGAATATTGCTTACTATAAACCATAATCTATCCTTTATGCAAAGCCTAACATCTCAGGAAGATAATTTCTCTATGATTTTTCTTTTATTCATCACTACCTTCCATTTTCAGAAACTATATTGCCAACTACATTAGTTTGTCTATCGTAGAAAATCCATTCATACTGTTACTCTTGTTTCTCCCAAATCAACTGTCCCAAGTAGTGATATTGTTAAGCACTATCTAGATGCATTATCTAGATACCCAGATGGGGATGTTTTTTTGAGTCTTTCTCTCCTTTTTTTTGTAGAGACAGGGTCTCACTCTGTCACACAGGCTGGAGTACAGTGATGCAATCACAGCTCGCTGTAGCCTTGAACTCCTGGGCTCAAGTGATCTTCCTGCCTCTGGCTCCCAAGTAGCCAGGACTACAGGCATGGACTACCATGGCCAGCCTCTGGAGCCTTTTGAGAGAATGGCTTTCCATTAATTCCTACTAGTAAATCATATCCCCCTTTTCAGGGCCTCAGCAACAGTTCAAAAGAGATCAGCCTTTCTGGATAAAACACCAGAAGTCCACTCAGATGTCCTAGCACACAACTAAAAAGGGATCATGCTTAGAGATAAATTCTCCTGCATTTGGCCTAGCAATGAGCCAGACCACAAAACAGCCTAAAAGTCTGTCTGGTCAACATCAGAGACCAGGAATTCCAGGTTAGGTAAGATCTAAGCTGTTGCCATCACATTGAATAACAGGCATTTTTTAGGCAAATGCTTCAAAGAAAGGTCTAACACCCATGACAACCACTCCCATCAGTGTCCTGCTATTAAGGTTTTCAAATGAAAGGAGATTCTAATCTATAATCCTCCTTCTCTGCACTCCTGGGGCTAAGAAGGAGGAGGGTCAGGGGTCTGGGTCCTCACCCTTTCAAAGCAAAGAGGAATGTCAGTCCACTGGAAGGGATACCTGTCATGGATGAATGGGCAAAGTCACTACTTCTTTCCTCTTTTCTGTAAATTATAATTCTGTAAGGGCCTATGTTTAGATAGACACTGCCCATATTTCCTGTAAAAAGTAAAGAAAGACCACAATAATATTCTCTACAAAATCCTAAGACATGAAATATAAGAAACTCTAGAGCTGTCTGACACAGAGTACCAACTCTGTTGGCTTCCCTATATCAACTTTATAAAGTCCTCAATTCCACATATAGTACACAAACAGTAAAATGCCATGGCTCCTGAAAACAGCTCCATGAAAAGAGAATACACAGTTTTCAAAACCTTGATACCAACATTCTGCTACTCAGGGCTTCAGAAGGCCGTTCCTGCCTGACCACCTTACATATTTGTGGTTTCAATTTGGCAGCTCCTCTAAAACCAAACACATACTCTTTCTCAGTGTAAGTCCACTCACTGTAACTGCATACCACTTTGGGAACAGGGAATTCAGGAGAGTGTAACTGCATAATTAGATTCCAACACAACTGAGCTTTTGATTTCATATCTACTTCTGAAAACTCTCTGCTGCTCTGTGGTTGGCCACCATCCCAAAACCCAACCAGGTCAGAAAGTGTGAAAAGCAGCAACAATGAAGTGACAATTTAACTTCTCTGCTACTGGCAGGACACAAGCAGCTGGAGACAGAGCTCAGAAGATCTTCCTCCCTCCAGACCTGGAACAGTCCTAGAACCCACATGGATGCAGCAGGACTCAGACGTTGCAGACCACACTTTCCACAATGTTTTTCCACTAGGCAGCCTCTGACAACCTTGTAGGCTTGTGAATGTATCTTTTTAAGGAGAACAGTAGTCACAGATCTTCTCTGGAGCTAGCTTCAAAGTGGGCTGAAAGGTGCTAACTACAGAGAACTACCAGAACTAAGAGTTTAGAAGTACTAAGGTCCTGTGGTGAGACTCTTAAAAGTAGGAAGACCTTATCCTCATGGGTATGCTCTTAACCTCTCCAAATGCTCAAAGCAAAGGAAAAAAGGAGGGCTATATCAATATAGAGAAAGGCAAAGAGTGTGAAATAAATATTAAAAGGCACATTATGTGTACGTGTGATGCACATACACACATACACAAGGTCCCAAATATCCCATGACCAGAGTTCTGTATGCTTTTTAAATGTTTTTCTTTAAATAACTTGAGAAAGTAAGTAGCGTCACATATTTCTCTACTGAGAACTTCTACCTTGGCTTACCACAGAAAATAACAATAATAATAAAAAAAACTAAAATGGAGAGAAGGATAGAAGAGTTTTGTAACATTATTTTCACTTCCCTAATAAGATTCAGAATATAGACTGAAAAGCTCTCTATGTCCTTAAAAGATCAAAAATCTTTCACAACTGATGGACTTGGTACAGTTTCTCATGACCTACAGATATCATGAAGAAACTTCCAATTCACCAACTTGGCCCCTGATGTCAACAAAGCCAGGGCTACTTTACTGGGGATAGGAATGGCCCACGTCACAGGGGAATCCTGCCCTCCCTCTAATGCCTACAGGTGGCACAGTGTCAGTGTGTCTAGAAACTATGACTCCAGGTAGAGCTGGAATCTTCACTTCCTAGCAAAATGGCAGATCTCACAGTAGTGAAACAGAGCAGCATAGTAAAACAAGCAGTTGAAATAGCTTCCAACTCTAAGACCAGAGACAAGGTTCAATTGGTAGGCCAAGACAAAGGCAAAACTTTCCCCTTTATGCCCATCCTACTCCATTACCCAGCCAGTGGCCCCACAAGGATCATGACAAGGGAATGGCTTCCATGACCTCAGTGCTTTTTGAGAACTTAGGCACACATCAACACAACTACTGATCAGAAGGCAGACTTACCGCCTCTCCCCGCTGTGCTCAAACTTGATTCTGACGTCACTCTGCCAAAAGGAATGATAGACAGGTTAGAGGATTCTCTGGCATGTTACTGCTGCCATTCCCGGGTAAGCCTTGGGTAGTCCTTTAGCAACACCAGGCAAACATCCCTGATAGTTCCTGGTCCAGGTTCTCTACCCAGACAGGCATTCCAATGAGATACAACTTCGAGGTCCAACCTCACGGGCAACAGAGCTCTTGGGACAATATCCCTAGGTGACTACCCATAGCAGTTTAGCTGCTATGCTTTGACATGCTGTTTCTAGTTTCATATATTCTATTTCTATAGCTGGCTCTGGAGTTTCTCCTACTACATCACCTCCTGACCAGAATACCTTTCCTTCTTGGCTAATATGACTTAAGAGAAAAAGGAGGCTGGGCACGGTGGCTCACGCCTGTAATCCTAGCACTTTGGGAGGCCAAGGCGGGAAGATTGCTCAAGGTCAGGAGTTTGAAACCAGCTTGAGCAAGAGCGAGACCCCCGTCTCTACTGAAAATAGAAAGAAATTAATTAGCCAAATAAAAGTATATACAAAAACTTAGTTGGTCATGGTGGCGCATGCCTGTAGTCCCAGCTACTCACGAGGCTGAGGCAGGAGGATCCCTTGAGCCCAGGAGTTTGAGGATGCTGTGAGCTAGGCTGATGCCACGGCACTCTAGCCCAGGCAACAGTGAGACTTCTGACTCAAAAAAAAAAAAAAAAAAAAAAAGAGAGAGAGAGAGAGAGAGAGAAAAAAAGGAAATCTTGCTGCCAATACTTTCTAGCTATATGACCACAGGCAAGTTACTTATTCTCTATGAGTCTCAGTTTTTCCATCCATAGAGTGAAGCTAAACAAGATAATGTATACCTGACACAGTAGGCATGCAATAAATGGTTTTTGCTTCTGCTGCTGCTGCTGCTATTGCTACTACTGTCATTGATTTTCCACGATCTTCCCAAGGTTCCCCAGTAGAAGTAAAGTAGGACCCTACACAAATTGCCTTATACACTGTCCCCAGCTTTTTCCACAGAATGTCATGAGTGGCCTATAAACTGCAGGAGGGCAGAGATCAGGTCTATCTTGTTGCTATATCTCCTCCAGTGCCAAGGAAAAGGGATGGCATATTATATGTGCTTAATTTGTTAAGTGAATGAATGAAGAACAGAATTGAGTATAAATATCAAAAATAAGAGGAAGTAGAAGTGTTAGAATGACAAAGAACAAATTAAGGAGGAAGAAATATTGCAAAAGGGCAAGTAACTTTAGGAAGTTAAAAAACAACAGGAAAAGGAAAGAGATATTACAGAAAAAAAAGAACAGGTGTAGAGGTAAAGAAAAGTATGACTGTCAGGAAACCAGCAAATAATTGAGATGAAGGAGAGAAAGAGTTCATAGTCAATAAACAAAAATTATACTGAGAAAGATAAATTAATAGACCGTAGCTTGGAAGAAAGAAGAAGGCTTCAGATACTCTTAATCTGAAGATGAGGAAGACAGAGCAAACAGAGATGATGACAGAAAAGGTAGGGTGGGTACCTAAAGGACTCTCTTTTCCCAAGGGAATAGGGGGCTAGAATTCTCTTCTAGTCCACTGAGTTGGAACAGTGGTTCTAACTTACACTCTAAAAATTATTGAAGACTCCAAAGAGTTTTTGTTTATGTGGATTATCCTATTTATATTTACATTAGAAATTAAAACTGAGAAAATTACATTTTATTCACTTAAAAGTAGCAATAAAAATTATATGTTAACATAAATACATTTTTATTAAAAAAAAAAACATTTAGTAAAAGAATGCAAATCTTTTTTGTTTTTTTTTTTTTTTGGAGACAGGGTCTCTATCTGTTGCCTAGGCTGGAGTGTAGTGGCCCAATCATAGCTCACTGAAATTTCATACTGCCGGTTCAAGGGATCCTCCTGCCTCAAGCCTCCCAAGTAGCTGGGACTACAGGTGTGTGCCACCACACCCACCTAATTTTTCTAGTTTTTGTAGAGACAGGGTCATGCTCTTGCCCTGAGCTCAAGCAATCGTCCAGCCTCAGCCTCCCAGAGTGTTAGGATTACAGGTGTGAGCTACTGCACCTGGCCTACATTTATTTCTTCAAGGGCCACTATACATGAATTTAGTCTGAAAAAGAATTACACTTTTACTCCAAACCACAAATCACTCCTATTCAAGATTAACCAAGCCAATGACTGAGTAAGTAGTGTAAACAAAGATGCCTTCTCTGATGCCATGACAGCTTTTCCAGAGCAGGATGCAGGTCCCTGACTGGCTTCCATGTACCACACAGTGTGCCTAATCTGTTGAGTCCCCAAATCTGAGTTTCCCCATCAAGCTGACCATAAGTCATGGATAAAGGAAGTTCAGATAAAGATAACTTGATTCAATTCCTTCTGGCTAGCCATTCTCCTTGACCTCTCTGAGGCATTTCACACTGGTGGCCAAGCTTCCTCCAACTTCTATGATTCTATCTCAGCCCAGGGAACCTGTCACCATTCTAACCACTTCTGCTTCTTTGCTGGTTCCTCCTCTTCATGCCCTCTCCCACCCCTCCCCCGCAACATGTGGCCTTTCCTCAACTTTTGGCTTCTGGCTTTCTCCCTCTCCCCGCTCACACCTTCTCCTCAGTATATCTCTAAGTACAAGATTCCTAAATCTCTATGTCTAGCCCCAGTTTTACAAGCAAAGCTTCATCTGCCTCTCACATACTTGAGGCAGATAAGTAGTTGTTAAGAATGTAGCACTGCAGTCAAACTGCCTGCTTCAAATCCTGGCTGTACACCTTCTTAGCTGTGTGACCCTGAATTTGTTATTTAACCTCTCTGTAACTTGGTTTCCTCTTCTGTAAAGTGAGAATGATGACAGTACCTATCTCACGAAGTTATTGAAAGAATTAAATGATATAATTAGTGAAGCAATTAGAACGGTACCTGATATATAAGTGCTCAATAAATGATAATACAGGTCCATTATCCTTTAGCTAAAATCCTTGGGCCAAAAGTGCTTCAGAATGTACATTTTGGATTTAGAGAGGTAGTAGGGTACATGTTCTGTATATCACGTGATGCCTCCCTGGCCGGGGGCACAGTCTGGGGCAGCACGCCTGTGGTAGAGGCAGAATGCCCACAAATATTTCCTAGACTTCTCTGCATTTCAAAGTTGGATTGGGGTTTTGTGCCTAGTTTTGACTAAGAGCTAGGAACAGAATTGAGCTCCATACTCTCTTCCATGGCAGTCACATATCCTACAATAGCAGCATCTCTTTTAATCCAGGTTGCTAACTGACTGTGGGGAACACTGTCCTTCCCATCCTCATACTGGACATACTGTATTAAGTCACTGAGATTTGGGGTTTATTTGTTAACACAGTACAAACTATTTATCCAAACTATCCTAATTTTTACAATGAAAAGTATGAATAGTCACAATAAGTGGAATAAAGAAAGACTGTGAGTACCCCTATGTCTGTTCAGGCCAGGTTTGATTGCCAAATGTTTGCTGCAAATTAAAAAAAAAAAAATTCTTTTAAAAATCCAGAAACTAAAAACTAAAAAAAAAAAACCAAACCTTTTAGTTTACAGTACTGTTTGTATTTCAGAATTGCAGTTAAGGGATTGTGGGCCTGAAATACACACACACGTTTACAGAGTCTTTTTCCACTGTTATCTCAAACTCTACCATATATGTTTACATCACAATCTCTTAAACTAGTCGCCTTTCTCAACTATAACTAATACTGCCTTTTTTTTTTTTTTAAGAGATGGGATCTTGCTATGTTGTCCAGGATGGAGTACACTGGCTATTCACTAGCATAATTGACACAATTGTTGGGCACTACAAATTTGAACTCCTGGGTTTAAGCGATCCTCCTGCCTCAGTCTCCTGAGTAGTAGGGACTATAGAAACATGCCACTGCACCCAGCTCAGCATCACTATTTCTAACATTGGTACTGCTGCACTCTTGGCTACATGGGCTCAAATCTCTGAGTTATCCTTGATTATTTCCTTACTTTTCCTGCTCACAGCCAGACGGCAAGTTCCAATTCTCCCTTCAAAGTCCTCCAATGGAGACTCTGCTTCTCATTCTGCCTGACATCGTCATCATTAAGACCCTTCCTCCTTGCTCCTGGATTCCTAAATCCACCTCTGGAAGCCCTCCTTCCAACCCAGTCTATGCTCCTCTACAGTTCGAACCATCTTAACCACCTTTTTCACCATGTCCCTTCCTTATTCATAAAGTAATCAGTGATATCCATGACCTTGGAATAAACTCTAAATTCTCTGCTATCATTCAAAGCTCTCTAGGATTTAGGCTCACTCACTTTACCTAATCATCTCAGACTGGTTCCCACAGGAACCCCACTCTCCAGCCATTATCCATGCTCATCCTATTTTCTGAAATATGCCATATTCACTCCTTCCCCTGGGCCTTTCATCAATGTTTCCTGACCCAGAGCACTACCCTTCCTCCTTTCCACCTAACTAAACTTTTATGCATCCTTCACAGCCTAGTTCAAGTGCCTCTCCACCTGAAATGACTCCGTAACATCTTTGGCCTAAGTTCATCTTTCACTTTTCTGGCTTCCTACAACCATTACCCATTTAGGCATAGTCACATCCTACTTTCTTTTCTTCATATATTTTTTATTTCCTAGTAAGGCTGCATGATTCCTGGGGTACAGGGAACATGACATACATTTCTTCTGTGTGTCTAAGAAACTTGACTATAGGCACAGGTTGTACTGAACAGAGAGGTGCCACAGCTGCTGAGAAAAATGTTCCAGTACAAAAATTCAGGTCTAGGCAGGTTCAAGTCCCCTACCCACCACAGGCCACATGGTGAAAGGAATAGTGAGAGCCATGCTCAGGAGAGGGACAGTGCAAGCCTCCAGGTTGAGCTAAAGATTCAGGAACTCAGCAGGGGTAATAGGAGTAACTGACAATAACATCAAATTTAAGCAACAATGACCTTTTTAAAGTCTGGACTCAACAGTAGAACACGTAACTAAAGAGATCTCTCAAGAATCTGGAATTATCAGTGGTTATTAAACAAAGGTTTGTGAACTAATTTGACCTAGCAAAGCCTTGAGTTAGCTGTCATCCTTCTTTCCCTCCCTCTGATTCTGTATTACTCCCTCTCCTTGTATTTGCTATATATACCTTGGATGGCTCCCCACATCCTTGGAAATGGACTCCTTATTTTGCCAAAGATAATAAATAAATTAAAGAGAAAAGTGTGACAAAAATTAAAATTTCATTTGTAAGCATGACTCAGGAAAGTCGTAAGAGATCAGTGCAAGAGATGATTATAAAGCAATCTTCTTACAAAATATAATGCCAGGCTTGTGTGTTGCTTTGTATCTTATTTTCAAACTGGCCAGCCAATCTTATCAAGAACCCTTGAAAGAGAAGGGAAGTCCTAAAGAGCCAGGTCTATCACAGTAAAAGCAAAAGACAGTCTGCTCCATCACTGACCCTGCTGGGGGAATGGCTCCTAGAATTCTCTTCCTCTAGAACTGATAACCAAGGCCCTGCCCTGTTTGTGCTTGCCACGAAGAAAGCAGCTTTTCCACTCTGAAGCACCCACTAATGAACATCTGGAGGGTCAGATCCAGACCCCAGACTCTCCACAAGTATCTTAGGGAAACAGGAATCCATGGAAATAAGGAGTCTATTTCTTCCTCTGCTAGGATTTTCAGACATTAGGCTAGCTTCAGAAGTTTGCAAAGGATCATCAGATAGGCAGTAATGATAATGATAATCAAATAAAAGTGGAAAAGCCTTAACCCTTTTAGTTCCACAACACTATACATAGTTCTGGTTAGAAGTTTTCTCCAAAGTTCATAGCCACAATGCCAGAACATAATAGAAGTAACATAATCACTACAACTTTACATTTGTACATTTGTTTTACAACATACAAAATACTTTAAATTCTGACTATGATCTTACAATAATCTTAAGAGGTAAAGTATTATATGTCTATTATTTCAGATGGAAAAACTGAATTGAGAAAGGTTATATGACTTATACGTGGTAAAATTACTATGACTAGGAGTCAGAAGACCTGAGTTTGCTTCCTGGCTCTGCTCAATAGGCTTCTGTAAATGCTGTGTGAACCTTAAAGTATTATACACATACTCAGAGTTGCTGATGTTAACTGTTGTTGAAAGTACTCTATGAATTGTAAAATCCTATGTTAATAGATGATTAATGACTATGACTCAGGCGAGTGCTCTGTACGCTAAGCTGTCAGACCCACAGTGAGCTAGCACCCACTGATAAAGTTGATGACTGCTAAAGGAATGTTACATATCATGGCCTGCAAAACCAGTGACATCTAGGATGTGCCACACATTTAAGAACTTTGAGTAACTCTAACCATGCTTACACTGTAGGATTCCAGAAACCCAACGTATATACAGAGAACACAGACCCTACCTCTTAGCAAATATTAATAGTTTAGCTGATCACCTCAGTGCCCATGTATTCCATAGCTGCTCAGAATGCTTATTTGTTCTCAAATGCATTTTCTTTTTCAATTAGTTACCAAGCTTATTTACTTAGGGAAAAGGATGTCTAAAGTTCTGCCAAGTAGAGACATTAAGTTAGATTTTCCAGTTCTTCCAAGCCTCAGCCCCCAAACAGTTCTATCAATGAACGCACAGCTTCTCTGGCTTTCCTCACTGTGCCAAGCTTGAGCCCCATTAGGCTGTGCCAAGCTCAACTCTGCCTTGTGGCCAGCACTGCCATTCTTACACTGAAAGGCTGTTTGCCTCTGCCAGCACCATTCCACCCTTGAATAAACAACCTTTCCTGCTAGCCAAAATACTTAGTTACTTTTAACTGGGACTCTGCAATTTGAATCTTTAGCTCAATTTGACGTTTCTTAGCCCAATTTGGTATCTCTTCACAATTTAAATTAGGTTTTTTTTTTTTTATTTTTTTTTTATTTTTTTTTTTTGAGACAGAGTCTCGCTTTCTTACCTAGGCTAGAGTGAGTGCCGTGGCGTCAGGCTAGCTCACAGCAACCTCAAACTCCTGGGCTCAAGCGATCCTCCTGCCTCAGCCTCCCGAGTAGCTGGGACTACAGGCACAAGCCACCATGCCCGGCTGATTTTTATATATATATATATTAGTTGGCCAATTAATTTCTTTCTATTTTTATGGTAGAGACGGGGTCTCGCTCAGGCTGATTTTGAACTCCTGACCTTGAGCAATCCGCCCGCCTCGGCCTCCCAGAGTGCTAGGATTACAGGCGTGAGCCACCGCGCCTGGCCTTAAATTAGGTTTTGATCTTTAATTCCTCTCTCCTCCTAAGTGGGGACTTTTTCACAGAAGAACTGGTAATGAAGGAAACAGTTTCATCCTATCTAAGGCCTAAGCTAACAAAAACAATAATAATATTAAACATGAATTCACTCTGTAAATTGTAAAGACCTTCATTAATGGATTATTAACATCACCAGGCTCCTTTCATCGCACTAACTTGTAAACACCTCTCCTGTACATCCTCCCCACATGCTCATCTCACCCCATCTTTCCTAGAAATGTATTTGCTGAGACTTTCTCCCTCTTTCTGCTTTCAGAATTTTGCTGAAGAATAGCTCTCCTGCTCAGATGCTGAACATCTGCTACACTTCCCAGAAGAGACCATTCTACAACCTTGACTTCATTAAGGGGAAAAGCTACCTTGAAATTTCCATTGCCCTTTTACCCAATATTAGCATAAAGCTTAGAACTTCAATTTCTAAACAGTCATGCCAGTTCCATAGCTTCACATTCCTCCTAGAATAGAATCTTAGATAGGATTCCTATTGATGAGCGTATCACAAGGCATTTAGACTCATGATCTGTGTGAAAAGAATGAATGTACCAATGAATCTCTACATATCTTCAAGCATATAATCTCTTCCTCAATAAATCAACAGTCCCTCACATAGTACATAAAGTTATGCTGTTCAGTATAATAGCCACTAGCCACACGTGCCTATTTAAATTAATAAAATTAAATAAAATTTAAAATTCTGTTCAATAGTCACATGTGGCTGGCTAGTGGCTACCACATTGGACAGTACAAATATAGAATACTTCTGTCACCACACAAAGTTTACTGAACAGCACTGACAGAGGCTACTTATGAATAATATTGTTGTAAAAATGGTGACTGACAAGAGGCACAGAACATAGGTCATCAGTAAACAGAGCTCCCTACAAATCCACTGAAACAATTTGTCTGGGAAATGAATTCCACCCTTGCAGCATGGGTAGCAGATTTAAAAATACATTTCAGTTTTAATGGATAATTTGGGTCCTTACCAAAAATTTCTTTTTCTCACTGGCCCCTGCACATGAGCTTGTTGTTACTGTGGGGCTGTTCAGAAGGGCTGAGCTGCTGCTGCTGTTTTTCTTCTTTAAAAACAAAAAAACTGAGGTTAATAATTTGTATCCTACACATGCATATGTCCATTAATAAAAAAAAAAATAATTTGTATCCTCCATGCAACAGAAAAAGCTTGATAGTATTCAGGCAAATTGTGAATCTAAAGAGCCAGTACCTCTTGTTAAGATTATATCCTAACAAATAGCCTTCTACTTTCATAACCACTGACTTCACTCCAATAACATAACAGCAGGCACAGTAAAAAGAACTTCTCTTATGATAGCTTTTAGGATCTAAGCATAAGGATTCCTAAAAGGGAACCCTCCTTCAGGGAGCTATCAGGGACCACTCCACCCCTCCTGGGCCTTCCAATGCAAGAAAGCTTCCCCTTTTACCCACTAACTGATATCCATGCTAATAGTCCAGTTTGGAGAAAGATCAGCTAACTGGAGCAACATTAGCAAACACACTCCTCATAGGAAGACAGGAAGGAAAGTGAGGTCATTAGGCTCAAGCCTGGGGGAGGGGACTCACTTCTGGTAAAATACTCCTTCCAAAAGTGGCTTTGAATACAAATGAGTTACAAGGGACACACAGACACACACACACACACACACACGAATAACAAGGTATGAAAATAGTACGAGAATGATCCCTAATCTATTATTCCCCCCATTCTGCAAGGTAACCACAACAATAAGAGCAGCTTTCTAATAAGAGCAGCATGTTGTAACCTTCTGTTACAACATGAAACAAAAGGACTCCTCTCCCCCTAGGGTCCCTAGTATTCCTAAAAGCAGGAAATACTCTGGGAAGCTATATCTAGCAGACCTCAGTCAGAAGAAGTTTAGAGCCTTATACTATTTCTAGGAACCCAGGGTACTTCTGAAGAATTAGTCAAGGTGTGAATGAGAGAGGACGTTAGCTGATAATAAAGAGAACCACAAGACAGAATGTCATGGACAAATTTTTAAACACGCCCAACATAGTCAGCTGATATAGCACTGGACACCCACTAGGTAGGAAGGCTCTCCATCATTCCTCTTTGTAGGCCAAAGTACTCAGGAGACAGGGAAGTAAGTGGAGTAGAGGTGAGAAGATGCTCAATGGTATACAAATTTAAATGTTAACAAAAACAGGAAATATTTCCCTAAAGAAGCATATAACTCTCAATAAAACAAGCACTCTCAACTACCTGAGTAATAAGGGATAACAACTATAAACAATAATAACAAAATCATTCATTGTTGCCTTTAGAATATACTATGTGACAATTTCATAAATAAATTTCCCTTCCTAATTATATTTTACATAAGGTAATACCAAATTAATAAATTTTTCCTGGGCATATATTATAAGGTAGCTAAAAACATGAGTTAGGAATCATGAATTTGAATAAAATATTTGCCAAATAATCAGTAAAGGGAAAAAAATTATGTGAATACTGCCCCCATAACAAGTGAAGGAATTATTCTTATTCTCCACAGAAGAAACTCTATGCACAAGGCTTTGGGATTCCAGATCACGGACCCACACTTGATAGGTATATGTCGCTTACCATTTATGTTTTTAATTTTCATTTATTTATTTATTTATTTATTTATTTATTTATTTATTTGACAGAGTCTCGCTTTGTTGCCCAGGCTAGAGTGAGTGCCATGGCATCAGCCTAGCTCACAGCAACCTCAAACTCCTGGGCTCAAGCGATCCTCCTGCCTCAGCCTCCCCAGTAGCTGGGACTACAGACATGTGCCACCATGCCCAGCTGATTTTTTCTATATATATATTAGTTGGCCAATTAATTTCTTTCTATTTTTAGTAGAGACGGGGTCTCGCTCTTGCTCAGGCTGGTTTTGAACTCCTGACCTCAAGCAATCTGCCCGCCTCGGCCTCCCATAGTGCTAGGATTACAGGCGTGAGCCACCGCGCCCAGCCTCACTTACCATTTAATAGACTAGAGGAAACCAACATAATTCAAGCCTGGTATTAAACTACCCTTGGCTTTTCATATTTTTCCATTTGAGTTTCTTTCTTTTTTTTGGTGGAGACAGAGTCTCGCTCTGTCACCCTGGGCAAGAGTGCAGTGGTGTCATCGTAGCTCACTACAACCTCCAACTCCCAGACTCAAGTATCCTCCTGCCTCAGCCTCTTGAATAGGTAGGTGTGCACCACAACGCCTGGCTAATTTTTCTTTTTTTTAGTAGAGATGGGGTCTTGCTCTTGCTCAGGCTGGTCTTGAACTCCTGAACTCAAGTAATCCACCTGCCTCAGCTTCCCACAGTGCTAGAATTACAGGCGTAAGCCACCACGCCCAGCCATATTTCCCATTTGAAAACCCCTTCCCAACAAATCTAGTTAAGCTCTGCCAGGGCCACACACACCTGCCTATTTGGGTGACCCGGGTCTTTGTTCTTCATGGTCTCATATCCAGGCACCGGGGCACGTCGGTTCATCTTGAGGGCCACAAGATCCTTCATGATCGAGTTCAGTGCCTCCTGCTCATCTGCAACAAATGAGAGCATATGGGCTAAGATACTTAAATATAGACCAGTAAAGCACTTTCACAAATTATATGACTAATAGGGAGTTTTGCCCAGGTAAAATGACAAACCCAGTAACTTAAATCACATGCAGCTGATGCTTCCCAAAAGGTCAGACTGTGGCAATTTGAATTTTAATGGATTCTTAACAGCCCGCCAATCATGTTTCTGGAAGCACTATTCACCAATTCATTGCCAGGAAGGGAGGTACTTCAACAGAGCAATTTGTCCAGTGCCAGAGACACTCAACCAGGATAAATAGATGAAAAGTTGGAGTGAAAAACAACAAAGTACAGTGTGGCAGGGTATTGACTAAAAAGATGAATCCATAGAGAGCTGAATATAGCACAGAGTCAGTCCCAGGCTTATTCTTAAAGCATCATATGTGGGAGAGCACATTTTAAAAAGTAGCAAACAAAGGACATCAGGTAGCTGCTTTGAACAGAAGTTGTTTTACAAGCCTAGCCTTTAAATGTTCCCTCAAACTCTTTACAAATTTATAGGCCTTCTGCTTCCCACAGGGAAGTCAAAGGGCACTTCTATTGTTTTTCTTCCCTAACTGACCAAGCAATGCATTGTCTCTACATTACTGGCATTACTTTTAATCTCCTTTTCTTGAAATAGCATAGAGTACCAGACTTCTCATGCATTGACGACAACTGACCAAAACCCAGAACCCAAACCAGCCCAACTCCATGTTTTACAAAATTCTCCCAGGTCCTTCACAAAACCTTTGTCCACTCAAACAGCACTTGGAGGTTGAAAGTAAATAAACCTGTCCATCTGGAAGGGAACATGAGGGATGAGTTGTTACATGTGCTTTGGTGACAAGTGAGTCATTGAGGACTTAGGACACACCTTAAAAGAATTACAAAAAATTCCACCCAAAGAGAGTTCCTATCTTCTGCCCTTTATCATATTCCCCATGGAAAGGAAAGAACAGCATGAAGTCTCGATCTTTTTTTTTTTTTTTTTTTTGAGACAGAGTCTTACTCTGTCCTCCCAGCTAGAGTTCAGTGGCATCATTATAGCTCACTGTAACCTCAAACTCCTGGGCTCAAATGATCCTCCTGCCTCAGCCTCCCAAGTAGCTGGGACTATAGGCACATGCTACTGTGCCTGGTTAATTTTTCTATTTTTTGTAGAGACAGGGTCTCACTCTTGCTCAGGCTGGTCTTGAAGTCCTGGCCTCAAGCAATCCTCCCCACCTCGGCTCCTAAAGTGCTGGAATTACAGGCATGAGCCACCACACCTGGCCCCAAGAACAGCATGAAGTATAGGAAGCCTAAGTGCTCTAGTCTCTTCTTCCACATTATTTGTCTTTCTCTTCTTCCTAGAACAAATCTGCTTCAAGTGCTCTAATGCCCCCTCAGAGGTGCAGGAAAGGAAGGACAAAGGTGCCTATAAAGAGGTTTTTGCTTGTTCAGAAATGTAAAATTAGATTTAAAATTTACAGGAAGGCCAGCTCGGTGGCTCACGCCTATAATCCTAGCACTCTGGGAGGCCAAGGCAGGCGGATAGCTCAAGGTTAGGAGTTCAAAACCAGCCTGAGCAAGAGCAAGACCTCGTCTCTACTAAAAATAGAAAGAAATTAATTGGTCAACTAATATATATAGAAAAAATTAGCCGGGCATGGTGGCACATGCCTGTAGTCCCAGTTACTTGGGAGGCTGAGGCAGGAGGATCGCCTGAGCCCAGGAGTTTGAGGTTGCTGTGAGCAAGGCTGACACCACAGCACTCACTCTAGCCTGGGCAACAAAAGGAGACTCTGTCTCAAAAAAAAAAAACTTACAGGAAAAACATAAGAGTAGCTTCCCATATGATTCCACTTCAAAACACATACAAAGTACATATGTATAAGAGTGACATAGCTGTAGTACTGACAGTATGAAGTAAAGTGCATAAGGAAGGAGGAAGTGGGTACCTACAAAAAGATATTTGTCAAAATTAAAACACATAAATCCCATTGATTATTTTATATCTTCTAGCAATTTCCCTATAGCTGCCTTAAAGAAAGGGAACTTGTTTGGTTTTTGGTTTTGTTTTTTAGTCTCAACCAAGGTTTAAAAACCAGAGCATATCTTGCTGTACATTGTGCATTTGAAAAATAAATAAATAAAATAAAAACTAGAGCATAACCCTTAAGCTAGGAAAATTCACTTATGTATTATATATAGGTTTATATATTAAATTGGCTTATATACTATTAAATATAATATATACACAATAGAGCCAACTGTAACAATAAATTGGTATCAATATAAGGAGGATTATGACTAGGTAGGTGTTTTCTGAGGAACATCCAACAATATTCCTTTTTTTTTTATGTCTCCCCACTATTTTTAGTCTCTACTAAAAATAGAAAGAAATTAATTGGCCAACTAAAAATACATAGAAAAAATTAGCCGGGCATGGTGGTGCATGCTTGTAGTCCCAGCTACTCAGGAGGCTGAGGCAGAAGGATTGCTTGAGCCCAGGAGATTGAGGTTGCTGTGAGCTAGGCTGACTCCATGGCACTCACTCTAGCCTGGGGCAACAAAGTGAGACTCTGTCTCAAAAAAAAAAATATTAACTGATGGGTCAAAATTTTAAAATATATACTACAAAGTAAGCCATTGCTTCCTCATAAGAATCAATATAGGTGTTCAAACTCTAGGGATATTTTATTTTATTTTTATTTTTTAGAGACAGTTTCACCCTGTAGCCCCCAGTAGAGCACAGTGGCGTCAGCCTAGCTCACAGCAACCTCAAACTCCTGGGCTCAAGGGATCCTCCTGCCTCAGCCTCCCAAGTAGCTGGACTACAGACACCTGGCTAATTTTTCTGTTTTTAGTAGAAATAGGTTGTTGCTCTTGGTCAGGCTGGTCTTGAACTCCTGAGCTCAAGCAATCCTCCTGCCTAGGCCTCCCAGAGTGCTAGGATTACAAGTGTGGGCCATCACACCCAGCCTATATTTATTTTAATGTTTGATGAAATTAGCCCAAGGGACTGGGGCCTATAAAATTATATGTGCCAACACCAAAACTACAGAATTGATCTCTCCCTCCTTTGTATCTTTACATGCTTTTGCACTTATTTGTTTACATGTTTCTGGTTCACCTTAACCAACTGTGACTTCTTGAGGACAGGATAATGCAGGTAACAAGGCTTAATACTATGTCTGGCACATAGGAGATATTTGACAAATGGATAAAGAATAAATGGATAGGCCGGGTGCGGTGCCTCATGCCTGTTATCCTAGCACTATGGGAGGCTGAGGCGGGCGGATTGCTCGAGGTCAGGAGTTCGAAACCAGCCTGAGCAAGAGCAAGACCCCGTCTCTACTATAAATAGAAACAGCTACTCGGGAGGCTGAGGCAGGAGGATCCCTTGAGCCCAGGAGTTTGAGGTTGCTGTGAGCTAGGCTAACGCCATGGCACTCTAGCCCGGGCAACACAGTGAGACTCTTGTCTCCAAAAAAAAAAAAAAAAAGAATCGAAAATTTCAGTTGTTGTCTCAACTCACATAGTGAATCAAAATAGATGTGAACACACACACGCACACTTTTCAGGTCAGATCCACAAGTATGACTGAAGAAATAATTTCTAATTCTGTATAATAAGATGATGCCGTATAATAAGATAAGGGCTGGTTTATCAGGTTGATAAATTCTGTTTCCAGGAAGCTAACCAATTCCTGGCATTACTTAATGAATAAATTTGTTTGGTAGTTCCAGCACTGAGAACACACTACAGCGGCAGTCCCTAATCCTTCGGCTGTGGACCAGTACTGGGCTGTGGCCTGTTAGGAACAGGGCCACACAGCAGGAGGTGAGCAGTCAACCCAGCAAAGCTTCATCTGTATTTACAGCTGCTTCCCACTGCTGGCACCACCACCTGAACTCTTCCTCCTGTGAGATCAGTGGCAGCTTTAGATTCTCACAGGAGAGTGAACCCTACTGTAAACTGCACATGCCAGGGATCTAGGCTGTGCACTTCTTATGAGAATCTAATGCCTGATGATCTGAGGTAAAAGCAAGGTGGT